CACGTTAGAATTTGTACTAGTTTTCAGCTATTACTTATATTTCTAACATAATATATAAATTGTGTCATGTAACAGAAGAGGAAATAGAGGCATACCAAGGAAACTTGAAAGTGCCCTTCAACAACCCTTGTTTTGAGCAGTTGGCAACTATTCTATCCAATCGTACTATGATCTCTGAAAATGTTGGCCTGACAACAGGTCTTTCATCCCAGCATTCTTCAATCAACCTGCAAAAATTTTAAGGTGGTTTAAAAATGCATGCAAACTCTTTATATAGCTTTAAAATAAATAAGAAAGGTCTTAATCAGGAGTCATGAATAGAATTTGTTCATAAATGAGACAAAAGAATTAAGTTTATGTTTGTATGTCCCCATGCATTTTAATATCAATGTGACAATGACTGCTTAAGATAGTTACCTCAAGCCATATTCCATACATCTCAACAATAAAGACTGGAAAAAGGGATTAGTAATGCCATTATAATGAAAGAATACAGTGAAGGCAAATGTAACCAATGGTGCTGAACACATAGCAAGGAGCATATCAAATAGATAACAAACTTGATTTTCTAAATTTTTTTTTATTAAAAAAAAAAAGAAAAAAATAATATCATCCATTTTTTACTCCCAAGAAGACAGAATATGAATGAAACAAATTTTGATTTTCAAGAAATCAGGTAAAAAGAACTAGCCTGCAACTAAACAGGCTTTATTTTGTGCATCTTATAGTCATGGGCCTCATATCAGTTCAATAAAATGGCAGATTGTACTAATAAAAATCTGGTTTGCATCGTAAATACAAAACTTACTCTTTTAAGTCTGGAGGATAGCTTTTAGCTTTGATCTTGAATGATGGTCGCTTTCCTTCTAAACACATCATTTTTACAACCTCTTCAGTAGGCTTGGGATGGAATGGCTGTACTCCCTCAATCATCTAACTCACACAAGAACACACAAGTGAGAAGCAGATAACCCTAGTTACTACTTTGAAGAGAGAAATAGTGTAAAATGTCTGAACAATCACCCTGCTAACCTTAAGAGGCAAAATAAAAAGAAAAAAAAAAAATTCCAGACATTGAATTATCAGAAAAATCATCATCTAAATCCTTGAATATAGAATATAAGCTTAGTTCTATTTCTTCTCAAATTGGAAAGAGCAGACAGCTTTCCCTTTATTAGAGTATGCAATAGATATAGTGCAGCACGAAAAATAAACCTAGACAATTTGATTAACAGCTTTTGATTAGAAAAAACACAGTACCTCATATAGCATTATGCCAAGAGAGTATGCATCAACACTTCGATCAAATATTTCATCTTTAAAGACTTCAGGAGCCATATAGATATCTGCAATTGGTAAGGATAGATCATTAATCACATGGATTAAGAGTTGCTCATTGACCAAAGATACCAGCCTCTTTGCGCTAATAAACAATAAATAGTCATGGTTGTATACTAAAATTACCAAAAATGTTCACTACCCTCACCTAAGACTAAAAGAGTAAATGACTGGAGCAATCACCTATGTTTATGACTTTATCTTGAAATATGTTAATACCAAAATACCATGCCGATTGATGGATCTTATTTGTACAAAGAAACCTACACAATGCTTATGTTAGAATATCTAGACAGATGTAAGGGTTTGTCTTAACTCACTTGATTGATCAATGTGACTTGCTGGCTGTGCTAGCTTTGCCTTGTCAGGTGAAATTTGTGACAATCTTATCAAACCAAATCCAGTTACCTTCAATTGACCTCCATTATCCAGCAAAATATTTCTGGCACCTTACCAAAATTTCAAACATTAAAGAACAGTACATCACAACGAGAAGATATGAAAATTAAGTTCGCAATTTTATTGCCTTACTTTGGCTTTAAATCACAGTGAATGATTGGATCTGGTTTACATTCGTGAAGATAGTTCATTCCCCTGATAAAAAGAATAGAATATGTCAAGAGTGTCCAACTAGACTAAAAGCACCAACTAACAGATCTAGTAACAATAGAACCAGATTAGAAGACTTAGCAGTTATTCATTTTAAGTTTTTATAAGAAAATAAATGGTGCACTTAGGATGAAAACAAAAATGGAAACAAAATTGGAATATATTTGAAGGAAAAGTGCACGTGCCGAGCAATGTCAAGAGCAAATCTTAAAGCTTTGGATGGAGATAGACGCCCTTTCTTCTGAAGATAGCTTCCCAAGTCACCCTGAAATATAACCATCAACATGGCACAGTTATAAGTAGTGATTAAGATAATAAAATAAAAGTAATGGTAGATCCATCCTTGCTATATACACTTCTAAATAATGAATTACAAGAATGAAAAAAGAAATGCACAAATATACCATCTCAGAAAAACATACAACCTCAATTGCATGAGATTTACAAACAACAAATTTAGAATATTCCCGCTCTGATGTTTAAAACATCTAAATTAAAACAAAGTTGAATAATAGGTTTGTAATGGTCTTTTTTAATTCAGTTAATAGGAAACTGCCTCAGATGATACTTTTTTTTTTTTATCTAATTCTTGATTTTCCAAGGCAATTAGTAGTACATTTGAGTCAAAGAAATGGCATCTTGCAGTTCCTCTTTTAATCTGGTACTGTATGTTCCTCTTAGAAGTTTTCTCTAAAAGTTACCTTTTCTTAAGTCAGAGAATATTTAGCAGGCCCCATTGTACAATTATTATTTTCTAACCATCCTGCTTTCCATTGTTTGTTCTCACTAGAAGTAACTATGGTTATGTTCTATCAGATAAAATACAGAACCATATGTAGACAGTTAGAGAGAAACAGCCAGACATATGAAGAGAGAAACAGCCAGACATGTAGGGACGCACAGACTGAGAGAGAGAGAGAAAGAGAGAGAGAGAGAGAGAGAGAGAGAGAGAGAAGCAAGCTTACTCTTGAATGGTACTCCAAAACAATCATCATTGGGACATTTTGTGTAACAGCGCCAACAAATTGAACCACATTTGGGTGTCTGACCCTTTCTAGCAAAGTTAGCTCATGCTTGAATGCATTTCTGTTCAAAGAAAAACAATTTATGGTGCAGTCTTAGAGCCCAGCTACTTTTTGGGTAGACAAATAAATTCATTAATCACTTTGCAAACAATCAAGATTTAAATGAGAAAAATATTCTCAAAATGAAAGCCACCTGCAGTTTGTACAATATCCATGGAAAATCTTATAAATGTTCAAAATATCAATAACAATCCTCTGGCAGGAAATAAAAAATAAAAAAAAAGAATATTTTTACAAATCTAGCAGACTAGACTCCACAATAGCAGACCAGTTAAAGTCTCCTTATCCCAGCAGTTGAATGATTTTCAGATTAGATGGTTATAGATTTAACCACTTTTTCTCACAAATATGCTTTTCTGAATTCATAGAGAATAAATCATGGATGCAAATTAAAATAAAATGAAAAAAATATTCTCTATATTCTCCATGAGGATATGCCAAAAACATACACATTGCAAGCATTCTTAGCCTTTTCATTAAATGCATTTACTGCAAAACCAGGTGGCATTAGGAGCACATTTCTTGAAAATAGAAGATGCTGAATTCACATGCATGAGTCAAGCATGAATTCAAAAGAAAATAAGGTGAGTGCTTACATGCTCTCAGGGTCTGAATGGTTGTCTTTATCAAGTATCTTTACGGCAACTTTCGTGCCATTCCATTTTGCCACTTGATATGTCCCCTGTTAATGGATGCTTCAAAAGTTAACAAGCATAAAATTTTAAGACAAAATAGGGATGGGGTGGGGTATCATGTAACTCTACTCAGTCAAACATACACAATGCTTATAGATTTAACATGATGTTTTCTGCATCTACACCCAAAGTCAGTGAGTATGACAACCATCACGGTGAATAACAATCCATTTATAGAAATATAAGCCAAAAAGGAATGAGTTCTACTCTGTCAAACATACCACAGTAAAAATTCATTCATCAAGATGTTAGCAAATTAACAACAGAAGCCGATGTGTATGGTTTTCCCAAAAGAGAAAAAGTTCCATCAATATTTACGAAAAGTTACAAGTTAATTTCTATCTTTGAAGAAACCATGAAAGAAATTCTCACTATTTCAGATAGCAATTCACAAATCCCAGACGCTAGAGCCTTGACTTATAGAATGACAATCATCACATACTCAGATCATCATAATATAATCTTAACAAAAAAAAAAAGAAAGCATTATGTATTGATAGAAACTAAAAGAATCCTATTAACAACTTAAAGATAAAAGGCAAAAGTAAGCAATATGGCAAATATATTTCATCACTTGAACACACACTAATGCAGTATCATAAAATTTCCCTGGAGAAGCAACATGCCCCTGTAAAAGGCGACCAACTATCTGCAGGAGAATCAGATATAAAATAAGAAGTCAACATGCCTTTGCAATACCATCAGCCTTCCGAACCTGAAGCTCTAGCGGGTTAAGCTCATACTCTGGAACTTCTCGAGGATTAGAAACTGCCATTGGTGTCTTCCTGGTTTTCTAATGTTACAGAACATACGTAAAAATCAATCTTCACACAGA